ATGCGATGAGAACACCGGGGACGGGGCAGGTGTCATGACAGGCATTCCTTACGAATTGTACAGCCGATTCGCTCGGTAAGCGTGAACTGGTTTCCCACCCGAAAACAATATCATTTGTAAACGATTTTCCTGTTAACGATCGTTCGGACGCACTAAGATAACAAATAAATAAACTGCTGAGAACTGGAACCAACTATGAAGACATCTTTTATGCTGTACTCACAGTCATGAGGATTACAAATGGAGTTGAATAGTGTCCTAGTCAAAACGATCTCCCGTTCCCTCAGAATAATTAGCTACCTGGGACACAGAGGGATGAATCCCCCGTTTGGAACCAGCCAATCATTACCACCGTTGATGGTGAGCAGTGACAGGGTTTGACGCTCCAACCTTGTGGTTTAAAGCATTTCTATGAAGAAGTTACTTGAACAGCATGACAAGCACTATCGTATCACACGCAGTACCTGTGAAATTGGACATATTCAAAAACAACATTCAGAGTGGTTCGAAAGAAATTCCACGAATCTGCTTTACCGAGGATCTCAAAATTGGATTAACTAAACTCACGATTTTGTCGTCATGTTCTCTTTCTGCTAGTTAAAAAAAGAGAATATAAAGAAATTTACAAATTTAACCTCCCCCCCCGGATGATTTGTATGCCTTTTTAGTTCACATCTCATAGTCGGAATGTCGGGTCCAAGTTTCCTCTCTAGATCAAAGCCAGTAGTGAACAGTTGTCGGAAGTATAACCAATTGTATTCGCTATCTAATGTGTATCAGAGACAGGAGATAGTAAAAGCCGCCTATGCACCAAATCAATACCGAATCCGACTCGATTTTTTCTAAGCTTATTTCTGTTCAACTTTCTACCGCAGGATCCCATTTGGCGCACAACCGCATGCGCTGTATATATTTAGTTCTATTCAGTAAGTTATCGATTGAAGTCTGCCGAGAACAACGGTCTACTGACAAATTATCCAATCAGCAACAAGTATTATTTAAATGAATAGTGGAATAAGGCATTACAGCGTACAGAGAACCAAGTTTCTCATTTGTTTTAAACGGAAGCAGCCGACACCTAAAAACAAACGATATAAATTACCACAAAACGGCTTNGGCTTTAGTGTTTTTTTTTTAAATATCAATGTGTTTCACTACTAAGCAGTGATCCTTTTAAGATGCATCATCTCCGTGGAGCTCAGTTTTCCTTACTTGTGGTATTTATCTGATCCGTGTATGTGACCGAGTCACCCGGTTTCGGAACCGGTCGCATGTCTGCGTACTGCCGATAAAATTTGGAAATCAAATCGACCTACAGGTTTACACAATTGACAAGAACTAACAAGTTCGAAACAGTCCGACCGTGCTATCCAGCTGTGGACTTCACGTTACTTTTGTTCCACTGGGGGAAACGACATAAATCGTCTCACTGTTTCATCATCTATGGTCTTTGTGTTTTAATACACTTACGGTATTTTATATTATGTTTTTAATAAATGGAAGAGGATATTCTCAATTCGAGCTTTGACGCATATTTCAAATCACCTATTCCCAACGAGGACTTCGCACAATTAATCCAGCAAGCCCCACAAAGTTTTTTTTATACAAAGGTTATTGTGATAATTATTTCCGAAAGCCAGAGGTTAACTACCTGAGATGTATTATCGTTCATAAATGATCAATACGCGATGAAAGAGTTTATACGTCTGATTATTATTTTTATTATTTCAAAATCAAGCACTCATCTCTCGGGCAATGTGGTCATGTGTTCTTCAGCTTTACATTCTTCAAACGGCTCCGGAAAGTAGTCCAGGCAGTAAACGGACCAAGAATTTATTTGGGATTACCTGCAGACCACTCTAGCCTGTTCTGTAGGTTCCGTGTCGAAATCAGATATCCGACCGGGGCTATATTTCTACCGGATAGCGCAAAGTCAGGCAGAATCGATACGAACTGTGGCACTGTTAATTTTATTGGGAAAATCATGCAAATGAAATGTCACAAGCCTAAAACAATCATGGATTGATTCCTCCATGTCCAATGGACAACGATATGGATTATTTGGTTGCCTTCTTGCATTCACCCAATGCGGTTGGTTTCACTCGGGACCACATGATTGGTCGGCAGTCGTGCTGTATCTTGCCAATGAAAACTGAAAAACGGTCTGATCAGCTGCTCGGCATGGTTGCGTTCTGTCTGTGAGGTTGATCCCAGTTGGGTCGATGGCTTCGTACAGCACGGATGAGACCCAACATAGTTGAAACAACTGTGCAGTGTGCTTCCTAACATTTAGTTCACGCCTAATGTGCTCTCTATGTCCGAAGAATCCTTCCTAAAAGTTTTACGATTTTTCAATTTTCGTGGACATAACAACCCTGTACTTTGTTTCCGATTTCAGTGAAGCCAATGTGGTATTGCCCCCGGTCGGTGAGTTCGCAACCGGAATGATCTTCGTTCGATCGGATCTGACTACCCCGGCGAAAGTGATGCACACATTCCAGTCTTTTGCAGAAGAATGCGGACTTACAGTAAGTTGGATGTGTTGAGCGGACAGGTGGTATCTGACCTACTTGTGTGTGTGTGCATGTGTGTGCGTGTGTGTGCGTGTGACATGAGCATGTATGGTGGGCGGTGGACTCACAAAATTTCATCAGTCACATCCATCTCTCGCACCTATCTGGAACGCAGTAGCTGAGAGTGACGTGTTAGTTAAACCAGCCTCATGACTACCACCTGCCAAATCACACCAAAAAGGTCAAAGCGTGCCCAGGTACTTGCACTTTTCAAGCCAAAAGGACGACTAGTGTGTTTGTGTGTATCAGAATTAGTATTGTATTCCGCATCAAATCAACGCCGAGATAACCAACCGGCCAGAATAGCCAATTCAGCACTAATCTCGCTGGCCTTGTCAGATTAGAGTCTTGTGAAAATGCGGAAGAGGTTGTCTGAACGTAGTGAAGACAATGGACATTTTATCAACATGTCACATCCACGCGCACATTCATACACCCCGTGAGAAGGTCTTGGAAGTATCAACTGGAATTTTGCATCCTCATCATGGTCATCACGTAACCGTTCACGGCTGGTTGCATCATTCACGCGTAACAGATTCGCAACTCCGCATGTACCTCTTTGAGCCATCATCTGCTCGGTAAATGTGCACAATTGAAAATTTCCGACCACCAGGGTGAATCAGCCACACACAGTTCGCAAAGGTTCCACTGTATTTCCTGTGTTATATGCAACACCTGGGTATACTGTAAATCATTACACACAAGAAACAGTAAGCTTTATTTGTTTCAAACAATACATTGAACGGATACCTTCAAAATCAGTTTAATGTTACCACTATTCTCCAATTGGGGATATTTTGACGATATGGATTCCAAGAAACGAAGCGTAAAATGAATTCTCTGTGTGTAAAGGATAGCATATGACCCCGGATTTTGTCCTCAAACCCAGTCAATGTACAATTTACTCCTAACGGATGAATTTATTTGCCAATCAATATGATACTTCAGATGTTACGCTCACATTCGTTGTTCGTTAATTGACTAGTTTGGAACAAGTGTGGCCGTTTTCACGAGACAACTGAAACAATGAGATCTGTGTGCAGTGATTGGTCAGAAGTTTTAATCAGCTCGACAAAATGGCAATTAAATAAAACGGTTAGAACAGCCTAGTGACGGTACTCACCCCCGGGCTATGACTGTTCGGAGAAATTGATTCGGTAAACCGCCTGATTTTCCTTTACACACAGCGGATACGTTCACAGTAATGGATTATGCAGCTTGGTTTACACGAGAACCCGATTGGTAGAGAAGAAACAAGCAACCGGGGAACCAGCCTCGTTGTTCTCTCTTCTGCTCATACGCAAAACGTGCAACTATCGAAGATGTTGCAAAATCACACACCTCTGCCTAACCGATCACTTTCTTGCAACGAGTTGTTTTAATTCTTTAGTAAAGAGCAAAAGTGATGGAGTTTGTTCACGAACTGGTCCCGTCTGATTAAATATGTAAGGCTGAGGGGTTGCCAGCATTCTGGGTGAGTACGCGCAAATCCCAGATAGAGTTTTGCTATCCGACCGGAAATCGTTGACAGCTAATCAATCGAAACAGTAGTAAGTCGAATTGCTGTTGACAATTGATGATGATGAATTATGCAAGATGTATCAGGAATACGTTACTGATTATCCAATTGGCATAAGTTAAACGAGTGAGGGATGGTGCACAACCGAAATCAGAAGTTTAATTTAGGGACTGTAAATCAATCGTGTTTTTTTGTTGTTAAATGAAATAGGAATTCGACAACTTTGTAGTTTACTCTGTACTCCATCGCTTCAGAGAGCGAGCAGGATACTGAACGCATTCATATACAGGCGTTGATCAAACGCGTGTAACACCTTGACTTTCGTCGCATTCATTTCTCTCAATGCTTAAGGAATCTTTAAGCCACATTTACAGGACTGGATAGGATACTGTTCCACATCAGACACCATACAGCCTTGACAGTAATATCCACCTATGTCTGTTCTTTATCGGACGCCATTAAAATGTACGATATCTGGATTTCGACGACAGTTGCTGACTAAATTCATTGTAAAACTATGTACGACCAAACCTCTTGGATGTTTCATCCGGTTTTGGTGTAGTGACAGTACAAAACGCTTAGTCAAAGAGCCGCGCATCCCCTCAAAATGAGGCATTTTACGTGACTAGTCTAAAGCCAAATAATTTATCAGTTTATTTAGGTTAGAACATTTTAATTAATCGATTTATTCACTGCGCACCGATTAAAATAAAGGGATTTGGAATACCTATATTGACCAGAATAATCACCCTCGTGGATGAGGAATCATTTATTGAAAAGAATGCGTTGCGTAAGATATTTGCCAATCCGAGTTGTAATTTTCGAACTAATCAAATTTGATCACGACTCTCAAGGTCACACAAATTCCAACGGTGCTAGAAGAGAACTAAGAATATTAAAGTAGGAGATACGAATCGGAATAAAAACATTTCACGCATAGCTATCGATATATGTGTATGATAATGGAAAGTGAAATGTAATGCCTAAATTGAGAGTCATGTTGCACGAGTTCAGTCAACACCTGGATAGAGGTATGTCCCTCACCGTCAAAGCCAACTTCGCACAAGATCCCACAAAAACTCAGCGTAGTGTGAAGTCATGTTTAAGGCAATCAAGTTTTTCAAAAGCAGTTTATCTTATTGGAGTGAATGTTAAGACAGTTCAATGAGTTTTGTTTTTATCAAAAAACGTTCGAATTTCTCGTTTGACCTAAATTACTATCAGTGGTCATCTTTTGTTGGCACACAGTGAACCCCTCCCTAGTCGATGAGAGTGAACAGCTTACTGAAGTGAAGAAAATGATAAATTCTAAAGTGATTCCAGATCACGTCATATATCATCCGTACTTTTTTTTAATTTCCATTCTTTCTGGATAGTCATTTTAATAAAACTTCAATTAATAGTCTTCCGGTCCCGACTTCGTTCACAATCATTACTCCGGACGTACAAAACAAAATCGTTCTAATCACAAGCGCTAGCGCATTGACGAAGACAGTTAACTAAAGAGCTTTCACTAATCATTTGGGTAGAAAAATAGTTTATTCCTAACGCATCACCGTTTATTTTATTACAAGGGATTTGTGAAAAATCCAGGAGTAATTTTCAAATTATCGGAAACTCCTTTAAGAGGCATCAAGATAATTTTAAAAACGAATAGCTGTGTGATACAAATAGAGTGCTTTTAACGCGAGCATGTGGTTGGAAAATACGTATTTGTTTTCGATAACTTTTTCATCCGCAGGCTGATATAGTCATATAGAGGTTTTGATCAAGCTCATGCAACAGCCTGACTTTCATTACACTTGTTTCATTCAACTCTTGGTGTTTCGAGTCTCATTCACCTGAGTGAATATTACATTGTCCCACATCAGACACAACAGAACCGCAATACTATCCACTTGTGTTTCTGCTTCTCTTAGTCAAGTGCCGTTAAAATGTACGGCATCTCGATTCTGACTATGGTTGCCGGTGCATCAGTTGTAAATTGACAAAATCACAGTGAAAATCATAACTAGACTTGATACATATTGTGTCATTAGATTTTCATGTTGTCAATGTTCTATTTGTCCCTCTTTGGTTTTGAGCACCAGGGCTGGTAGTTTTTTTTCAGGGATTCCAAGTTGACCGGCCCAAACCGTTTTTTCCTGTTTTCTCTTATATATATGCCATGCTCTGACCAATGACAATCACTGTCGAGCTTTAACCCTATTTCTAAGACAGAAAAGTTTGTGATTTCATTGGGAATTCCAATTTCTGGGCGGCAATTGAATGTATTATTTTACGTTCGTCTTGACCCTCCTCTCCCCAGCCCCAGAAACTGCATAAATGTTCTTTTTCAATATTTAATGTGGTCTAACCATTTTTTTGCTACCAAATTCAAGTGAGAAGATATAACTGCTTTCATCTATGAACCCTATGACTGCCACCATTCCATTTTGAGAGTGATAGTTTTCGAAAACGTGCCTTTTCTATGGGAAATCAAGTTTGGAATAAATACACTTTACCCATAGCCATCGATGTACAAATACGATACTGGAAACTGAAATGCATTTCCGAAACGAGAGTGTTTTTGTACTTGTTTGATCAACACGTGTGTAATGTTCGTTCTTCTTAGCGCTCATCATCAGTAATGCAAATCCATCGTCCCTTCCGGGTTTGAATATGCACTACTGCTGATGAGCTCTAATAAGGGAGAAACTCGAGTCTATAGTGCTTTCGAGTGTACAGTTGACTGGAAGAACTGAGAGAGGATTGTGCGTGAAGGCGAAGTCTGGAGAATGATCAGTTCTAATCAATCAATATCAATAAACCCACACCAATATTACTCACAAGTAACTGAGAGTTAAATGTGAGTGACATGGATTCCCTCAGGAGATGAAACTTAATGGCAAAGTATTTCAGTCGCTATTCTACGATGTCGAGAAATTCGGTCAACTCTGACAGCAAACGGATCTCAACGTTACCGATGCTGTCACCACAGCAAACATTGTGACAAACACGGCAGTTCGTGTGCTGCAAAACAGTCAGAAAAATTGCTCTGGATTTTCCCCCTGAAGCGGACGGACATTGTGATGCTGCTATTCCCTGTGCGCAAGTTCACGTCAAGATTGTTTCCCAATGTATCTCTCTCTCTCTCTCTGGTTCTCGTCTGGACGCGCGACCTCACACTCAAATCACAAAAGCGTGAGCCTTGACCGTTATCCGGATATAGAGAACACACCCACACATACAAACTCGGGGACACAGAGAAAAATGTTCCTTATCCTCTCACGTGTTCTTGCCTTTCATTGCCACCCACACACCTACGAATAAATACACACGTAAGCGATGCGATACGGTACGATGTGTGTGTGTGTGTGTGAGAGTGAGTCTGTGACCTCAGGATCACATTGGTCGTTCACCCTCAATCTCAGCTTCATTGTGCATATTGCTCTCATCAACTAATGCACAACAGTGTTTTCTTTCTTTATTGGCAAGCCGATTTTATCAACAGGCCAGGCGAAGCCATGTTACTACTATCCAGGACAGCAGTTGCTGTTTTTTTGTCCTAGCTTTTTGGGTGGGCATAGAATGTACAAGGTGTTCTGTGCTGATCTCCGTGATTTACGAAGTTTCGTAGCAGCAAAGCAAGCCAAACTAATGTTTGATGTGCATATCCGTGGGTGTACGAGAGGACATCCTTCAAGATATTCATATAACACAGCGCAGGTGTTACCGTTTCTGTACTACCTATGGTCATCATGTTTCGTTAGTGTTTACGCTGCTTAGTACACTGACCGAGATGGGAACTCTGTGACCACCCAGCAGCCAGCCACATTGACGAGAGACATCCTTTCTGTCATCCAGCTTGATAACATGGGTTGTTTTTCCCCAAGGGAAAACTTATTTCTGGGTTTGAAGTGGTGCCTTCTTTAACCACACTAGTAATTTGTCTCTTCCATAGAATTATGTGGTAAAAAGCTTAAATGGATGCTGCGCACACACATGGTCAACTCGTGGTGATCATTCAACATCCCCAGTGCAGCATTTGCGGTAATCTCCAGCTCACCGAACGAGACTGCGATGCACCAGTTACATCCACATCACAGAAGTAATGTGGAATGATTGTAGCCTTGGGCGCGGATGCTAGTGTGTTGGTGTGCACTGTGTGTGAGCTGGAAGTGTCGTTATTTGCAGACGTTTCCTAACCAGGCTAGGCAACATCATCAGCGCACATTCTGGGAGGCCCCAGTTTATAGTGTGATCGAAGGTTTTGTTTGGTTGTCCTATTGGTCAATTGCAACCATTTGCTATGATCTGGTTTGGTTGTCTCATTGTCATTGTGAAGCCCTTCTTTTCCTCATTGGTCGATTATTCTTTTTGAACCAACCTGAGACCGGTTTGACCCGGTCCCCAAACCGGTTAGAACTGGTTATGGAACAGTTCTGGCTGGGGCAGTTTTGGATCACTATCTAGGGATACATTGGTTAGAAACGGTCCTGAAAATGAGGCCTACTTAGCTGCATAAATTGAACTGAAAACCAATTATTGAAAAGTAAAAGCTGTAACAAATAAAACGGGATTATATTGCACAGATTCTAATTTCCCAGCTGCAGTTTAGGAAGTGATTTTGTAAAACAGAACAGGTTTCCGCGGAAATTGGCTTTTCTTCATGCATTTCAACATCCAGTTTCACGTAAATAAAGTCTTCTTTACATTTGTATTCATATCAATGAATCCTGTTTCAAACGGCATTTTCCCTCTCTCCCTGATAATCTGTTTCCCATTATCAGATCCTTTTCTGGCGGATGGCCAACGTAAATAAAGATGTTATTGGTCACGTGGCCAAATCTCGTGAACCGGCCATTGTTCAGGTACGTATGAATATCGTAATGTGTTTATAAACATCTTGTTCTCCTCTATCACCTTGCATTTATTCAGCAATGGACACAGATAGATGAATACACAAACTAGTGTCTCTAATATCCGCATTCATAGATAGCTACCAAAACTATGGTACATTTACAATTGTTTCGATTGTTACACAATTTCATTGATATATCATATTACTGTCCCTTTTCCCGATAAATCTTGTTGTGCAATCCGCATCAAGCAAAATCAATTGTTTATACTTACTCGTCAGTCCCTAAATCCACATCAGTCTACGAACAAAATGAGAGCAATCCGAAACTCTATTTAAAAAACGACTAGAGGATTTCATTGGGAACATGTGCCTAACGTGCTTAATGCGTATTCCTGGTGAAATAGGAACTATAAAAATGTTATTTTGCACTGAATCTTCATAGAATAGAAAAGAGCGTTGTTTTACACACACAAATACGTGTCTTATTTGACTAAAGTTGTTATCATTGACGGAAATGACTTAAATAGAGGAAAGAACCAATCATTCGCTGCGCTTATCCTCCTGTGATTCTTGCCCTTCCGTCCTCTACATGCCCCCTCCACCAACTCTTGGCTGTCCTCATTGGAATATTCTCCGATCACACAGGTCTTTGTGGTGCCCAAGTCAGAAGAAGCATCAGAACACTCTATCACCAAATTGCGTTCGCAGGTAATTTGTCTCCGAGCTTTTCGGTCATGCTCCTCTACCTTGACGTATTTGTTTTTTCCATTCAAGACTGAATGGATTCTCAGCGGGTACTGATATTCAGTTGTGTGCTTTTTTTAATCCTATTTTCAGTTACAATTTAAACGAATTGTGCAGTTCCCGGTGTGTTATTTGGCTTATCATATTTCAGCTCTGTGTTACATTGTATTCAGCTATCGTCCCTGACCCAGAGGACTTGATTACCCGTGTAAGATTTCCGAGTAATTCGAGCACAACCGGATTCCTATTCCAGTGCCGGGAGTAGAATTAATCTCCAGGTATTCCAGAATGTCCCTTGTGGTCCCCGGTTTGGGTTGGCATCTCACTTGAAATCACCGCTTTTAAGTGATGACTTACTGCAAATCCTCAGGTAACCAGTGCAACTAAATGTTGGGTATCAATTCAATATTGTTCAACGCCCCACCCCTCCACGATATATTCCCTTAATTTCACACTGTTCGTCTCATCGATGACCGTAAAATATGACGTATTAAACAAAAGAAATGCAAACCGCTTGAGTTCACAGCACATACCGGGTAAAAGTGATCAGAATTTTCTATATGACCGAGATACATGGATGCAGTTGACTTGGTGTTGTGTTTACAAGCTGACAGAGAATGAAGTAAACATAGTGGTATATGTTTCTAACAGCATGTGTGTGTATGTGTAAATGAAGATCCCCCACCCCCTTCCAAATGACGGTGAATAAAAATGATTTGAGCCAGACAACACTGAACATATTCAATATGATCACTTCAGTTGACAATAGGACAAGGAGGGAAATTTGATACTCCACTAACATTGAGGTTTCTGTGTTCTGCCCTGGAGGTCGCGAATTTGAATTAACCAATCGGAAACAGATGTGAACTCAGTGTGTACCCACAGCCAATACGGTCTGTATATTGTTCAACTAACAATCGTGTGAATACTGCACGGCAAACTACGGGAGCCTAAAGTCATGCATTTAAAGTCACTCCGTGTTGCTTCCACACAGTAAAAGAGGTGTTCCGCTTGTGTTGTGTTCCGCCAATCGATTTATCTTTCAAAATCGACTGTTCTAAACAATTTGGGACACTAATAATCATGTGTACTACCTGGTCGAGTGGGCACCACTATGTTTCAATAGCGTAATAGACGCTTGATGCACAATCAGCCCCGGTAAAAAATGTGTGTTCACACGTTTCTCAACCAGTTTACCGGGCACATAAATAAGGATCTCCGTTTTCTAAAAACAAGTAACGAAGAATTTGTCTGTGATCATGTTGCAATCTTTGTTGAACAGATCATCCCTAAATTTGAATAAAACAGCCTCATGAAGCTCCTGAGCACCTTCTCAGTAGCTGTCCTATGAACATACGTATGGAATCATTGGGTGATTTACTCAGTTCACTATCAGTGCTTAAAATATCATAGTTGCTGATTTGAAATGACTATCTTTAGGGCTCCACCTTCACTTACAATCCTCAGTTCACTGATTCAACCTGCTAGATTTGTGACAAATAAGCGTAACCAGCACGGACGACCTGATTTGATGGCAGACTTTCGATTGGAGTTAACAGATTGTCAACTGTGTTTCTCTTCGCTGCCGGGCCAAATGAACTGACTGACTATCACTGAAGATGAACAAACATGAAGTTGCAATTCATGGTATGGCACAGTGGTTACACACACGCCTTCCATGCCCGATGGGTCCGGTATTCAAATCCCGGACGGATGGTGGATATGCATTACTGATGAGCTATAATAACAACGAAACTCGACTCTAGTGCTTCCGAGTGTATGGTTGCCTGGAAGAGCGGAGAATTGTGCGTGAAGGTGAAGTCCGTAGGATGGTCAGTTAAAATTAAAATCAATTATCCCACACCACCACTACTACTCACAAGTAATTGTGAGTTAACTGCATCATAGTTGTCATTGTTCATTTAACAATGTGCTCACTTCCACTAGAAACTGATTATATTGATTGATCATATGACCCATCGTTTAATTAAAAAAAAGCGAGTTAGAACGAGAATTCATCAAGGGGAACTTTACGTGCTTCACTTCCATGTGTGAGTATTGATCACGACTGAACCCGGGACGATAAACATGCAGCATTCGTAAAGGATGATATTTCAACTGTCGACAAGCTATCCTTGGGTTAAGTCGGCTGAAATGGTTTTTCTCAGTCAACGTGATTTTACGTCACTAGGACTTGTTTCTCTATTGAAAAGCCCCGTTTTCTGTTTGTGCGTGTAGCCTGTCAACAACCGGTTCCGTTGACTCTCAACAATCAATACCTGTTGAACATGCTGTGTGTACTTCGCATCCGTTCAGTACACACGTGTTGATGATCTGACTAGATAACCCCAATCGGGAGTTGCGTAATTGATTTCAGGGTCATGAAGGTTCAATAGCTTGAATTGTTGTATTGTCAACACGGCTGAACTCGGGTTGTCAATCCCTGTGTGTCTGTATGTGATTGCTATGTTTGCAAGGATTCAAGGAAAAAGCTGCGCGTGTTTTGAGAGAAATCAGTTTCCGGATGCTTCGGTCAATTTAATTGGACCCCATTTTGTCCTGTTTGATCACGATTCTATGCGAGATGCAACAGCACTCCACTTCACAAGGGACTTGAAATAGTTCATACAGGTCACGTCAATGGTTAACAAACTTCCGAGGTAATCAGAGTAGCTATGTGAAAAACAATACGTTCCAAACTAGGTTGATTCTATCTTACAACACAATCGTCCTTCAAATGTGCTCAGTTCGCTTCTCTCCCTCTCTCTCTTACCGATCGGATTCATGTTTTTTTTTTTCAAACCGACAGGCATTTGTTCTTCGCAAGTATGCAAGTCACCAAATGGAGCAAACGTGCTATATATGCGGTCTTTCTCCGGACTTGGTCGTCTACAAGGTGGGCTCTCACAAATGTCTGTTATAATTTTTGTTATTTTTACTTCTTTCTATTGAATACACTGAATGAGACAATTTTATGGAGGGGGCAAGCGGCCATACAACACATCGGGAATGGGGAAATTCAGATGGTACTGGTGGTGAGTTTCGAACACACGTCCAGACGGGGTGATAATTTGGTAACGTTACCACACCGAGCCACCACCGCCCATATACCGCAGGAGTGTATGAATACAGGCCTGATGAGCGTTTGTGCACAGAAGTTCTCTAGCAGACTTCTTTTGGTTTTATTTGAAGGACGTCGGTTTGTTCCCCCTACGGGACGTTCTGTGTAGACAGACCCCTGTGGGAGAGACACATTGACTATGTTTGGAATAGAAAAACGATCACACTTTGAAACCGGACGGGACGGAAAATAAATTAGTTATGAATATGTTACCGACCCAACAGTTGATTTGCCTTCCATTTAGAGCTAGCTCTGTAAACCTCAGCTACGAGCGTTTACTTCTAGATTCACTTCACCCAACGCGGAATATTATTGAAAATAACAGCAAACGTGTAACTCCAACTGTCTGTTCATGGTGAGAGAAGAAGCGTATGTATGATTTGTTCGAGAACTATTCCCCATGAAGGACATGCTTCTCTCGCAGATTATTCATCAGAGGTAAAAGCAACTTTCATTATTTCATTCGTTCTCCTGGAGATTACTTTCAAAGTGGTGGTCAGAGTATTTCATCCATAGGAATTGATCTAACTCTCCAAATTTCACCAGGTGTATACACGTTGCCCTAATCACTACCAAAGCATTTTTCCACACACATTTTTGTTTCACGACACGCTTTTACATAACCGATACCCTGAGATCCTTCAGATTTGTAATTAAATACGCAGACCATTCACCCAGTTAATGAAGTCAAATAACAAACGAATGTTGAAATTGCGAAACGTTCAGTATCCTCGGTGGGATTCGAACCCACTCATGGACGCCACCCATGATTTTGTACCACACACGATTTACTAGCCGAGTGAGCTACGAGGCTACATCGATAACGCTGATGTTTTCCCATACGTATCACCCATCTAACTTACTGGGGCGTATGGCATCCACCAGGTAGCATGTAAACTGACTCCCACGAGAAAATTTTCCTCAGAATTCACCGGAGGTCATCGAATGCATTTCTAAGGCAAGTTTCATTACTCAAATTGTTGAAATTCTCGTGGCATATGTTTTCTATGCACCCATTAAATGTGAGCTCAAGACGTGTGTTCGAAGACCTCAAAACATATCTGGAAAAAATGTGATTTCGGTTTTCGCGAGGGCAAACAAAAAAGATTACCACCACCCCAAATATCCGGTGATATGAAAATGCCAAAATCGAATTATTCCAAATCCATTGTTTGGCTAATAATAAAACATGTTGGAATGCGTTCCCCCGTGTTGGAAACGTTTGCTAATGGGAACCTAGTCTGTTTTTACCGCTCCCTCAAGTAGTGCACCAATAGATGCACAATTCCGATGGTAGTGTCACTACGATGAACAACGCCAGTGCTCAGCTTAACCAGATGCCTCTTTTTTGCTGACATCAATATCCATAGCATTCTGTAGGAAAAAAATTGATGAACCAACCAAACGAAGCGAAAAGCTGTTCCACTCACGCAGATTGTTTTCGTTGGTTCTCTTGGACAGTTTCACTCTGACTGGCACAACATATCTTTAGGTCTTGTTGTTAGGCCACTGTGTGGGTGTATATGTCAGCCAGACGGAGATGTACTAATAAACGTTGTCATGGTAACCGACACAGAAGGTTGACTTGTGTTCAGAAAAGAAGAAAGGCATATACATATGTATTCAATTGGATTTATCTGCAACAGAGAAATCCTATCATTCCATTAACGTGTCCGGGTTTTCTTTCGGTTCTTCCAATCTGTTCCAGATGCAATACGCATTAACGCGAGATTTGACTACTACCAAACCCAGAGTTATTTGTCGCAAACTAGATTCTTCTGATTGCTCAACGTAGATTTACGGTGAGTATGGGTCAGTTCACGCCCACATTCTTGCGTCACGA